CCCTGAAGAGAGCAATGACATTTAAATAGCTTAATATTAAAAAAAAGACTTTCTGAATTTATTTTAAAGTATCACTCTCTTTCACAACAAACAAGAAAATATGTGTACAATGGATGGTACTAAAGGATTTGGAATGGACTTCATTATTGTATATTAATATATTAACATCCATGTGCAACAATATAATAGAGTATTTCATGGTAAAAGTAATGATTTTACAGATTTCCTTAATGTTAATCCACACAAAATGCATGAAAGAGATTATGCATTTGTGTGATTCCTAATCTCTCTCTCTCTCTCTCTCTTTTTTCTCTGATGATCACAGAATCATAGAACTAGAAGGAACCTTAAGAGGTCATCAACTTCAGTCCCATGCACTCATCGCAGGACCGAGCACAGATGTTTGTCTAACCTGTTCTTAAAAATGTCCAATGTCCAAATGTCCAATATTTCACAACCTCCCAAGGAAATTTATTCTAGTGCTTAACCACTCTGACAGGAAGTTTTTTTAAATGTCCAACCTAAATCTTCTGGCTGCAATTTAAGCCCACTGCTTTTTGTTCTATCATCAGAGTTTTAGAAGAACAATTTTTCTTTCTCCTCCTTGTAAAAATCTTTTAAGTAAAGAAATCTGTTATGATGTCCCCCTACCCATCTTCTCTTTTTCAGACTAAACAAACCCAATTCTTTCAGTCTTCCTATATAGGTTATGTTTTTTAGATCTTTAATCATTTTTCTTGTTCATCTCTGAAACTTCTCCAATTTCTCCACATCTTTCCTGAAGTGTGGTGCCCAGAACTGGACACAGTTGAGGCCTGATGAGCACAGAGTAAAGAACTGCTTCCCGTGCCTTGTTTATAACACTCCTCTTAATACATCCTAGAATGTTTGCTTCTTTTGCAACAGTGTCACACATATTTAGTTTGTGGTCCACTATGATCCCTAAATCCCTTTCAGAAGTACTCCTTCCTAGACAGTCGCTTCCCATTCTGTATGTGTGAAACTGATTGTTCCTTCCCCTAAGTGGAGCACTTTGTATTTGTCCTTATTGAATTTCATTCTGTTAACCTCAGACCATTTCTCCCAGTTTGTCCATATTATTTTCAATAATGGCAGCTTCTTCTAACTATAAGTTGGTGGTGCTCTAACTTTGCCCTGGTGGAAGACCAAACAGACCACTGGCCAGGATGAGTTCATGCCTGTACTGACTTTTATACAGAAAAGAGTAAAGGAATGACATCCAATTGAATGTAGAGGTGTATATCCCAGGGGCCCCAGGTTACAGCATGTTCCAGCTATAGCCAAACAGCCTACATATAACTGTGACCCACACAATAGATCACTTGACCTCTTGCACTTAGGAATCCAGCCAATATCCTGTTCTCTCATCACAAATGCCCCTTATTTGGCTACTAAGGCTTGTTCAGCAAACATTTCATTATTTATGTCATCCTTCAAAGAACATGCACCATGTGGAGCCTCTATAACCCTCCCCCACCATCACCAATGCACTGTATTTTCAGCTATTTCTATGTGTCATTTTGCTCATATTGCTTTATTTTGCAACAATTACATGCTAAATAACAGTATACTGTACGAGTTTATTTATAGGCAATGGCGGTATTGTTTGTTCTAGAATCCTGTCTAATCTAGAAGGTTCATAAAAATTCAAAGGTCTAAATATTTGATGGAAGAAGATTGTATGTGATATTTAAAGCATTCTTTACCATCAAATTCATACACAGAAAAGAAAAAACCTGAAGGTTCTGAAAGAAAAACCTACTTGTGATGACAAAGCATAGGTCATAACACAGTAAATCTAAAGGGGACAGTTTTTACCATGACAGCAAATGAGATATTATGAACTATTTTTAGTTCCATATTTATATACTAAAGATTCAATAATTCTGTTTTCTCCTTGCTGTAATCTACAGTGAGCAATCAGAAAAAGTAATTTATTGCGCAAACAAGAAACACTCAGTTATAATACAAAATAGCTAAGTTCCTCTTCCTATATCAAGGAGAGAAAATTGGTTTTATCATCTGTGACATGGGTTTTCTGTATTGCTAATGTCACAAATAAAGTCACTTTTCAGCAAGACAGTAGCACATGAACTTTCTCAACATTGCAGTGAGCAAAATGCGTATAACTGTCTTATATGTTTCCAAATAAGTAAGTGTAATTGCTAGGTATAAAAATGTCATTACATACATCACTAATGTTGGATATTTCTGTAACCTGTTAAATCAATGACTAATGGGTATAGAATATGGTATATTACAGTTTAACAATTTGTGGAAAAATATCACTAAAATACACTTTTATCATCCAGAGAATCGGAAATATTTGAAAACAAAAAGGTAACAAAAAAGCCAGTGGTCTTTTCAAATTCTGTAAATAAATCATTTGGCTATGCAGTAAAAGCTTTTTCTCTGTCCTTCAAACATTTGGTATAATGTACTTTTACTGTTCAACTGTACTCTCTCAAAACGTCCCCAAAGATGCTCCATTTTCTAACCAAAGAGAGCTACTACAAAATCTGATTTGAAGGGAAAAAGTAAAATGGTTCATTTTCTCAAGCAAATGAAGCTCTTTAATGTTTTATTCATGAGCAGTTAAAACCTTTTTGCTTCCCAACATTTCAAATTGGCTTTGTCCTTATAAATTCCTCAAAAATCTGAACCAAAGGAAACTAAAAATGCCACCAAAAATACCAGTCATTCAAAGGAACAAATGGCTCAGGGGAATGATATTGGGTCACAGACACATTCACTTCAAGGTCACTAGTTCAATATAGACATGTCTGTGCAGACCAAAAGTCAAAACCATCTAAATGGCTATTTGGCAGCTTTCTATGAAGTGAGCAAGGAGTTTCAGTGACTAAGTCTCTGTACCATAAAAGCCTGGAGTGCTACCAGTACCTCTGGTACAGTTTCCAAAACAGAAGCCGTAGTCTGAGCTCCTCATAGACTCATAGACTCCAGGGTCAGAAGGGACCATTATGATCATCTAGTCTGACCCCCCGCACAGTGCAGACCACAAAATCTCACCCACCCCTCCTAGAATAATCCTCTCACCTATATCTCAGATATTGAAGCCTTCAAATACTTTGAAGACCCCAAGATGCAGAGATCCTCTAGCTGTGATCTGTACCCCATGCTACAGAGGAAGGCGAAAAACCTCCAGGGCCTCTGCCAATCTACCCTGGAGGAAAATTCCTTCCCGACCCCAAATATGGCGATCAGCTAAACCCTGAGCATGTGGGCAAGACTCATCAGCCAGACACCCAGAAAGTTCTCTATAGTAACTCCTATCATCCCTCCATTGACCTATTTCCCACTGATAATGAATGGTCAATTAGATACCAAGATCCTGGTGGAGACTGACATGCTTCTTGAAAGTGATCTCTTCAAGCCAAGCCTGATGCACACGGATAAGGCAGATGGCTTGACTTTCTATTGTTGCTTGATTAATCAGAAGACTTCAGTTTTCAGCATTATCAATCTAGCACTCTTTGAAAGTATTAATTCACAAGAAAAGCTTTCTAATTCAGTACTTCTCTTTTACAAAGAAAGACTAAAAGGCATTTAATCAACCCTGAAAACCAATGTGCTGATGTGATGTTTAATAGAACCATACCGGTCAAACAGCTTGATTTACATCTGACCGAATGCAACAATACAATAGCCAGCAAAAATAGAGCTCAAGGGTGCATCTAGACTGGCAAGATTTTGCACAAAAGTGGCTGCTTTTGCGCAAAAACTTGCCAGCTGTCTACACTGGCTGCTTGAATTTGCGCAAGAGCACTGACATTCTAATGTAAGAATTCAGTGCTTCTTGCGCAAATACTTTGATGCTCCTGCTCAGGGATACGCCCTCTTGCACAAGAATACTTGCGCAAGAGGGCCAGTGTAGACAGGCACCTTAAGTTTTTGCGCAAGAAAGCCCGATGGCTAAAATGACCATCGGAGCTTTCTTGCACAAAAGCACGTCTATACTGGGCACGGATGCTTTTCTGCAAAAGCATCCGTGCCAATCTATACGCTCTTTTGCTGAAATACTTTTAACAGAAAAACTTTTCCATTAAAAGTATTTCCGCAAAATCTTGCCAGTCTAGACGCAGCCCAGAATTCACTCAGCTACAAGGCATAACCACTCTGATTCCCCTATTATAACTTATTACAAACATAGCCTACTACAGTACCATTTCCTTGGGAGACAGAATACAAGCTATTTTAATAGTTATATTCCTACAATGCCACATCAAAAGGAAATGTATTTGTGCCAATGGCAAGTCTGAAAAAACAGACAGAGCTGAAAGCAGACTGACCTAGGGATGAGTACAAGGTATGAAGCAAAAAGTAGTTATGTCCCCAATTCAGTAAGGCACTAGGTACATGTTTAAATCTATCCCACTGCAGGAAAGCACTTGAGAACATACTAATATGTTTTCAGTGCGACCAAAGCACATGCTTAAGTACATTCCTGAATCAAAACCTTTAAAAACACCAATGGGGAAAAACAAATTTATTTCTACTTTGATCAACTGTAAGGCAACGGGAAGCAGAAAGAGAACCATATAAATACTTCTTTTACTATATACTGGAGATATTTGAAAAAACATGCCTTGATTTTGGACATGTAAACAAGTATTTGAACATTCGGCACTTAACTGCCTGATTTGCTAGCATAAACAGGTTTATTTTTTGTGAACATAAAAGTTTCATAAACATCATTACAGGTCAAGGTGAGGCATTATCCAAATTATCCAAATATAATTTTGCAAAATGTACTATAAGGAGGTATGAAAAAGAGGTGTGTATTGTTAAGTAACTTACTTAATTGATATAAAGAATATAAATCTTTCCATAGTTTTACTGAAACATAATCACACAAAAATGGCTATTAATGATACTTTATGGATTAACATACATATAACCCTACATTAGTAGATTTCAACAGCACAAAGCAACAATGACTAAGGTGACTGTAAACTCACCGTCCATTGTCACGACCCACTCCCCAGACTCTGATGCTCACAATGGGCTGAGAATGAAGAATGGTGCGATCCATGGGATCAACCAAGTTTAGCATGTCATTCTCCAGTATAAGGTACATGTCTTTTCCCTATTAATTGAAAACAAAACAAAAATTACTAAATTTGTTCTTTATGCAAACTGAATCAGCTGAAAACTTAAAATGGTTTCTAGTGTCTTTATTTGCATTGTTACATATCATGGAATCATTTGATTCAAGGCTTCAATTTATTCTGAGTGCATTTGAAAACAACCTGACTTTTGCTTTAAAGAGATCCCAGATAAGATTTTACGTTTTTCTTTTTTTTTACAATAAGCCAAACTGGAGACAATAACTGTCTGCAATTTGTAACGTGTAACTGGTTTTGTTGGCGGAAGTCAAGAAAGTCCTGCAGGGCCCTGCTACAGATACAAAAAACAGAGCAAAAGAGTCACTCAGATTTCTAAAATTACTGAATAAAAATACAAGAACTATGAAAAAAAGGATAGAGAATTTGTTAAGAGACAAAAGACATTGAAAACAGCTCATGAAAGAGATATTGCCAGGTATTTAGACCAATATTTTGTTTACACATATATTTATGTGGCAGAGACCTGGAAGGAAATTGTTGCAAGAAAATAAAATCTGCTGATGATAATGCTGGAATTAGGGCAATAAAACTACATTTTAAAGATTTTATTAGGGTTGGAGAATGAGTGAGATATGGGACATACAGAACATAAATTGAAATAAATTATTCTATCATACACAAGGGATAGCTTAGCTAAAGCCAACTGCAATATATTTTGTACAATTTTTGTTGCCTTATTATACAAAGGCTATTACAGAGTTGGAGATGATGTAGCAGCAGGCAACCAGAAATTATTTAGTTATTCTGGAATTTTAAACACTAAGAGACTAGATAAACCTGGCCATATTCCGTATGACTTCACTCACTGTCAAATAATTCTGAAGAGACAGCAAAATCGCACTACAAGGAGGAGAGAAAGGCTTCTGACAAACAAAACAATCCACTGAATGAAATAAAACAGAACCTCAATGTTAAGAGCATCAGTCTTTAGAATGACCAACTGCATGATCCCAACGGAGTGTCAGATCAAGAAAGCAATGTTGATGTACAAATTGTCATTCCTTGATAACTTCAATGCATTAGAAATCTTTTTCAGTGGTTTGAAGGACAAGAAAGCAGCAATATAGTACCCCATGCTGCAACTTACACACCATATATACTGTAATTTTGAGATGTTAAGTTTCAAGACATTTTTTATTTTATGAAATCCTCAATCTGCAATTACTTCATTTGGGATTTTACTGCAAAATTAATAAAAAGTTTGATCCTGAAAGATTGTTGGTGGAAGTTATATTTAGTGAGACGCGTTGCTGCAAGGCAAATAATCATTATAATACACAGCAAACAATGATAAACTAATATGTGGTAAAGTAGCAAAACAGATAACATGGTTATATATCATGCTTTGATTACATAGACCTGTGGAAATCAGAAATAAGAAAATCGTATCTTCTTAGAACAATTTATCTCATTTTTGGGGTGAAATCAATGGCTAAATTTCCACTGACTTCTATGAGGCAAGGATTTCCCCTTCATGAAACATTTACAGATAGTCCCAAACCATTGAAATAGTAAGTATACCGGTAAGTATTATTATCAATATGCTTGCTGGTTAACCAACCCTTGCTGGTGAACAATGGCAGTGTCCAGCTGCACTGAACCAGATCAGCCCCAGTCACAGAGGCAACACCAGAACCTTTTGGTCACAGCAGGACCAGCAATGGTACCTCACAGCTGCACAGGACTATATGGCTGTGGCCATGGTGGAGCCAGGCGGTGGGCCCTAATTTAAAACAGTTGACCAGTTAAGCACTAGCATTTAAACTGCTTGGCTGTGTCTACACTGGCATCCCTTCCAGAAAAGGGATGCTAATGTAGCACTTTGGAATAGGCAAATCCGCGGGGGATTTAAATATCCCCTGCGGTATTTGCATTAACATGGCTGCCGCTTTTTCCGGCTTGGAGATAAGCCGGAGAAAAGCGCCAGTCTAGACGTGATTCTCCGGAAAATAAAGCCTTTTCCGGAGGATCTACTTGAAAGGCTTTATTTTCCGGAGAATCACATCTAGACTGGCGTTTTTCTCTGGCTTATCTCCAAGCCGGAAAAAAGCGGCAGCCATGTTAATGCAAATACCGCAGGGGATATTTAAATCCCCCGCGGATTTGCCTATTCCAAAGTACTACATTAGCATCCCTTTTCTGGAAGGGATGCCAGTGTAGACACAGCCCTTATGTTTAAATTTTGTTACACTTGCTCTCCTAACCTCCTAGAAACAAAAAATAAGTGCTAGATATTAACCCGTCATTTTGACATCCCTATTATACCTTTTAATCTTTACTCAATACTAAACATTTAATCTTAGGTCAACTCTTTCAGCTCCTTAATTTTTTGTTGTATGTACTCTGTATTCTGTCTGATCCTTCCAATTTGTTGACGTCTTTCACTCTTCATTCACCTCCCTCCTTTAAACATGCTTCTTGTATACAACCTATCAGTGCTCTGCCAACCAAGAAGTGTTGTTACAAGAAATTCTTCTGAAGTACACAGGAATCAATTTATTTCTCTGTGACTGAATTGTATTACCTGTCTGTTTAGACTGACTCTGTGCAACTACTCATGTGAATAAGGTGAATATGGTACTAACTCAGTAATTTCTGACCCAATTTCCTTTTACACCCTCTTCCCCAAAAGACAGATTTTTTAAAATAAGATAAGATAATGTCTTTTATAAAATTCAGCCCATCATAAGAAATGTAACAACCTGGCATCTTGATTAACACACACATTATTCATTACTGACTCTATAATGCCAATGCGTACTAGAGACCCAATTGGCTGAATAAACTTTTGAAGCTGCAAAGAAATATTTAGCTACATATTTTAAATAATTAAAGTTCTCAATTTTAAAAAAATGTAACATTCAAATTAACTTAAAAAAATCAATTAACAATCTTCCCAAAACTATAGAGTAACCCATGATAATTTTAAGTTTTGTAAATAACTCTTTATTCCCAAAGTCCACTCTGAAGTCCCTGTGCTTCATTTCGGTCATAAACACAGGCCTTAAGACATGACAGTGGGGATGCCACGAGTTGGCAGGTGGCTCATCTGGGCTGGGGGGG